ATTTTTTGCTCTCAACTAGAATCGAACTCGAGCCTCCCGTTTCAAAGGCATATGCTTTACCGCATGCACCAACTTGAATATAAATAAATTTAAAATATTAATTATATATATATATTAAAGTTTCACGCATGCACCAATTTGAACATAATTAAATTTAAAATATTAATTATATAGATGTTGAAGGGTAATTATCAGAGTTGTTAAAGGATCGAATCAAAAGATCGCCGATCCTGGAATCGATCCTAATTTGTCAATTTTCTCGGATTTAAGATCCTGACCTTAAAATGTGGATCGTCATCGCGATCATTTTTTTAAATATTCGATCCCGATAAAATTATTTTTTTACTTAAAAAGCAATAAATGAAATAAAAATTTTGAAAATTAAATTTAAATATTATTTAAAAAAATATATATCTTTACAATCATATTTTATCAACCACCATTCCACCAGATTTTATATCAATTTCCCAAATTTTTTGTAAGAACAAGTTATATTTATTAATTATATTATAATACAAATTCTAGGTTTTAATAATGTCCTCCATTATAGATTTAGAAGATAATATATCTACTTCTATTGATGTGACAGCAGATATAAGTGACAATGAGAATCTTTTACCATTTCATAATTTACGTAAGTATTTTACTTTATGTAAAACGGATGGAGTAACCATATAATGATCTATGAAAAATGCTCTTTATGCAAAAACAAAATATCTTCTTCAAAGATTTGCAGTTCAAACCTAAAGAGGCATTTAGAAGTAATTAATTCTTTTAAAAATACAATTTTTATTATTTGTGAAGTTCATAACCATATGCATATAATAAAAATGATAGATTTCCTTCACTATATGATGACAGTAAAATATTGGCATCAATAATTCACCCAAAATTTAAGCTTAATTGGCCTTTTATTAATCTGCCACAAATTGTTGTTAAAATACAGGGTCAACCATATGCAGATCCTTCAAATGAATGCATGGATCGATACATTTTATGGGAAAAACTCGTCACCAAAATGCTCTTTCCATTAATATATTTTTTTTATTCTAATGATGATTCAGTGAATATTTTTAATAATTATGTTAATTTAAAAAAAAACATTTATTGAATATAACACACGTTTACCATCAAGCGCTCCTGTAGTGCGCTTGTTTTGTAAAGCTAAACATGTACTTAATGAAAAACGTGGTTGTTTAAATGATGATAATTTAGAAAATTTTTTATTATTTAAGGCTAATTTAATTATAAATAAATATATTCTAATTGTTATACTTATATTATATTATTCAATTACAATAAATTAATTAAAGATTTTATCTGAACATTGTATATATAATCCATATATATATTATTATAATATGTTATTACAAAGTAAGTTATAATAGTAAAAAAAATATAATATTAGTAAATCACAATTATATAAAGTTATTAATTCTTGCTATTTTTTATTGATTGAGATTCAAGTACCCTTTTAGCGTTAACATTATAATAGGCAGCAAATTGGCCAAAGTCTATCCTTTGCATAGTGTTCAATTAGGGGGTTTCGGATATTGAAAAGATAAAGCTGAGATAATTGTATTTTACTATGTTTATGGCTAATCTTTGGCGTAGGTAGAATCCCTCGTCGGGATCCTCGGCCCTAGCAGAAATCCGTTTTCCCAGCTCTTTAAAGAAGGCCAGGGCATGAGAGCCGAACAACGTTAGAGTCGTGGCGATTAATGGTAGGAATGTATAATTGGCGGGAAGAGATGGCGAATATTTAGCTGGTGTATTCGCCTCGGCATCTAGTATGACATCTCTATTTATATTGGAAGGGGCAAGAGGATCTATGCATGAGAAATCCCAGGTTAGGAATTCCCCCTCTTCCAAGGGATCATAGTCCAACCATCGGAATTGTAAAGGCCAGTAGGTTCGAGGGTTGATGGGATGCCGGCGGATTTTAAGGCCCTGGCAATGGTATCATTGCATTTTGAATGCCTAATGAATCTACCTTGTATGATGGGCTCGCAGGACAGGCGAGAGGATATGAACGCACTAACGGAAAGTAGGGAAGGTGATCTTATGCCAATGCCGCCGGATTTGTTTGGTAAGGTAGCCTGTAACCATGATAATTCCCCAAATTTAAGATTGAGTATATCTTCTGTAAGGCGTTTAATCTCCAGTTCGTGTGCAGCGAGGTTGACGTCATATTGAAAGATATAAAATTCTTGGAATTAGAAGGTAGTTTTTTAATAAGAAGAAAGCTTGGCTAGATAGTGTATCGCGCATAAAGGATATCTCTCGTGAAATAGCGGCAAAGAACTTGATAAATTACTCGTCTTTACCTACTGGAGATCCGAGATGTGATAAAGCGTTCAATAGTGTATGATTAAACATATATTGCGGTTAAGGTCAATGATCTCAAGAGGACAATATTCGCTTTTTCTTAATTAACTCGAAGTCCCAAACTTTTCTCGCTGGATTTTATTATTTGGATTGCCTTTATAACTTTAGTCGGTGGGCCGCCTAGTATACCATCGTCGATATACCAGTTATGAAGATGCTTGCATTGGTCATTAATGTATCGTATTAGACTATTAATGCCCAGACAGAACAAAAAGGAACCTAGAGGGTTACCTTGTTGTATCCCATCGCTTATTTATTTTTTATATTAGTTAATTTTGCATCGATCAGAAATTTAAATAAGAATAGGATCGCGATCATTTCAATCCTCTTTTTTTCAAAAGATCGTGATCGGGATTCGATCTTTTTAAAAGGATTGATTAACAAGCCTGGTAATTATTTAGTTTGTGTGTAATGGTATTTATTAAATATACTTTATTAATAAATTTTATATAAATATTAAAATTTAAGAGTAAAAGAGGTAAAATTGTTATGTATACTGTGAGCATGTATTAGAAATATCAAAATTTAAAAATGTGATGGAAATCATATTGAATAAAATTTAAAATAGAAATGCTTTAAGATTTTTGAATTTTAAATATGAGTTATAGATTGGTCTGAAATTTTTTTTGCAGACATAGCCAGGCCTGATCAAAAAACCATGTGTTGAAGGGTAATTATTTAGTTTATGTGTATGGTATTAAATATACTTTATTAATAAATTTTATATAATTATTAAAATTTAAGAGTAAAAGAGGTAAAATTGTTGCAATGTAATCTGTGAGCATGTATTAGAAATATCAATATTTAAAAATGTGATGGAAATCATATTGGATAAAATTTAAAATAGAGGTGCTTTAAGATTTTTGAATTTTAAATATGGGTTATAGATTGGTCTGAAATTTTTTTTGCAGACATAGCCAGGCCTGTTCAAAAAACCATTTTAAATGCATTGTGACTTTTTATATATTTTATTTCAGTCCTCAACTATCAAAATTATTATGGTCTTTTGCGGGTTTGAGAAAACCAAGTGCTAGGACCTGGCTTGGGAATTTTTTTAATATTAGGCATAGGTGTAATATTTAACACAGAATATTTATATGGCCCTCAGGTAAAATCTAATTTAAATATATTTTTATTCAAAATAATAGTATTCACTCTTAGTCTTATTGGGTTGGCCTTGGTTGGGGTGAGCTGGGTTAAAAATAGACTAAAAAATAGATATGGTTTTTAGAGATTTGCCTATCTCCAGGCTTGGAAAAAAAATTTAAATTACTATCGGTTGGCCAGGTTTGAAAAAATTTTTTTATAAAATTATTATGGGTTGGGCTGGGCTTGTAAAATATTTTTATAAATTATATTGGGCTGGGCTTGGGAAAATATTTTTTAAAATTTTTATGAGCTTGGACGCTTGAGAATTTTTTTATTATTAATTATAGGTCAGACATTGGCTCAAAACAAATTTTTTTGCAGCCTGGGCTTGACCTGATCAAAAAACCAAGGCCCATGAAAGTCTGAATTTTGATTGTATTTTTAAATTCATTATGATTATTTAAATATTTTATTTCAGTTCTTAACTGCCAAAATTATTATGATCTTTCATTGGGCTTGGAAGAATTTTTCATATTTAATATGGCTTTGGACTATGCCTGGGAATTTTTTTTAATATTAAATATTAGGTATAAGTAATCAGTAATATTTAACAAATAATATTGGTATTATCAAGTAAATGCTTTAAATTTATTTTTACTCAAACCATAGCACTTAGTTTTAATGGATTAAACCTGGCCTGAAGGGATGAGGGGGTAAGAAGAATAAAAATTGGATATTATTTTCAAATAACTAGTAACATGCATAAAAGTAAGAAGAAAATTTTCATTCCCCGTCATTTTTGACGAGCTATCTACTAGTATTTTATAAATTTTTTCTTATAACCAAGAAATAATAATAAATATTAATATAAAATGAATCTTCATGATATAAAAAAATATCAATAGTTTTAAAAATATAAAACTATTAAGAGATCAGAAGACGATTAAGGGTTAGAAAATAAAACGAAATAATTTTAAAAGCCATAAAGCAATGAATTTTTAAAAAAGCCTTTTCCAAACTGCTAAATTCTTTTAAAAATGTTTATAAAGATAATAATATTAATTTTGTTTTGGATCATTCATCATCTAGAGTCTAGATTTTATTCTTCCTAAATATAAGAATAAATACAAATTTTGAAATATGATTCGAGTGTTTACGCTTCTATTTTTTTAATTAAAAATTTATATAAGAATAAAATAAGAGTGCGGATATCATTGAAATGGGGTAATTATTTTTTTCATTTACAAAATAAATATTATTTTCATGCATATTTATTTTTATCACGGATGCCATTTTAATATCGTGTTATATTTATTTTTAAAGGTGCTATCAAATAAAATAGTGAAAAAGTATTAATATTTTTTTTGGCGGAAAAGTTGGGAGCGAATGGTTAATTTGATATAGGAAATACTTAAGGCCCTAATGTTTATCAAATATTAACAAGAGTAAAAGCATAATTATTTGCACTAAATTTTTTTCTCCTCCGCTGTTCCATTTTTTAAATCTATTTTTGCTTGTCAAAGTCTTACCCCACCACCACCAGTATATTGACGGACTCGAAATACTCCAAAGTTCCCCCTTTAAACAGCAATAACGAATCCGAGTACATTTTAACGCGCAAATATTCCGCCATTATACCCGCTTTCGATCCACGACCCGGCCGAAATAACTTACCACAAACGGTCGACGTCGATTTATCCTCTCTAAGTTTTTATCAAAAATTTCCTAATTTTTTTTAGCGGGATTGGGTCGGTCAGTAATTAGGGCATTTATTTTATAACTGAAAGGCCGGGATTTGGCACATATTTTCCTGCCTGTCCTATTGAATACAGATATATTAAGAAAGCCTGCATGCGTTTTGGTTATTTAGCAAGGCAGGTCAAAATTATTTTGCTTCATCATTTGAAAGTTGAACGTCAATCTACCCTTCCGGTGAAATCTAACTGATAACTCGATCAAAAATATTATTAACCTGAATTTTTTGAACTGATGATTGAACCTGAAGCTATTAAATAGCAGTTTTAACTTATATATTTAATGAGATTTTGATTGAAGGAATTACAAACCTCACATTTTCGTGTATTTAATTTAAATAAATATTTTTTTATATATATAAAAGATCGCGAAGATTTGTTATGCGTCCAAAAGCCTGCCAAAATTAATTTACATCTTACGCTCAAAGCTTTCCATGGCAAAATCGTAAAAAATTAGAAAATTATATAGCTAAAAATAAATTTTTTTGAATATTTCTTCAATGCTTATCATTTTAAGTGAAAATAACAATGACGTCCATCGCTGCATCATATTATCTAGAAATAAATAGTCATTTTATTTTTTTAGCTGTGTTTTTAAAATGAGCACACTCACAGCGATTTGTGTAAGCTATATTTTACTCTAAGGCTAACTGCAAATATAGAATAAAACTTTATTTTTCGGGAAACCTCTTTTCTAAACTTTCGTAAAAAAATTGTTTTTTTATATTATAAAATAAAAAAAGTAAAATTTAAAAAAATATACATAAAGTATGTTGGTGAAATGGATTTGAGTTCTGAAAATATCGACGAAAATGATACAATATTCTCCGTTACACAAAAATTTGTCTTGCGACACTTAAAGTGCTGTTCTATAGTCGAAAAATTAAAGAAGATATGGGAACCTATGATGTTCACGTGAGTTATCGATTAAATTAAATATTTGTTTTAAAGTAACACTGTTCCTTGCTTTATTTTCAAAAGTAACCAAGGGCGCGTTACATTCTAAGTAACCACGCCGTACTATTGGAGTTACTTTCTTCTATTTTAGTTTAGCTAAGGCATCATTAACTTTTGAGATTAAATTAAGAATAGCTCTGATTATATACTGTTTTACAATCTAAATTTTTTATATTATTTAGCTTGGTCTATAAAATTGTTGATTCGGACCTTCAAAATACATCATCCCCTTCCTGCATTACAAATATAAACTCCAACAAAGTAAAGCTTCCTAATAAAATTATAATGATTAACTAATTCTTTTTTTTTATATAAAACTCATCTATGTTTTTTTAAAGGATGAATTTTTATCACCAGACGCATTTCATACAACCTTAAAGTTATTAAAAATGATATATTACATAATTGGGGAACGCAACAAATACCCCATTCAACCTCTTGAAGGTTTAAAAATAATATATATACACTTATTAATTTAAATATTAATTTTGCGTCTTTATTGGCAATCACATTGATTTTTCTTTTATCAGTTTTGCAAAAGGAGACATTATTATTTTTAAATGGGGCCGGGGTTGTGAAAGAGGTAGAGGATAAGCTTTTTAAGAAAAAGATTTTGAACCTAATTTATTTCGACAATGAGTGGAGTTTTAGAACCTTTCAATAATTGAGCCAATTTATATATTCATTTTAGGTTTCACGTTTAATGACGAAGACCGTGATACTTCCCTGCTACACAATCTCTTTTGTTCCAAGAAACTCACCAACAAACTTATCCAACAAATTCACGTTTGGAAATTTTTTTTAAACATAATTGAGTATTAACTAGAGGGTCTACAAATGGCAAAATTTTTAGACCCAGCCTCGCCCGGTTGGAATTTAGCTTTTACCTTGCCCTGCCTGACCATTTACCCAGCACGACCTGTTTCCAATTTTTTAAGGTTATCAGGCTCGGTATTTTTAAATACAAGGCTTATTTTACCTGACCCGACCCAAATAAAAATTTGCAAATGTTTCCCGGCCCATTGGCCGGATACCGGGCTTTGCAGACCTCTGGTATTAACTATGCTAGTTCTATTTTTATTTTCTAATTTGGGTATTCTTTGTCTTGTGCTTTTTGCAATTTAGCTGAAGATTGAGTTTAAATTTTATAATGGGCTATTTTCTCCAAATTGCAATTTTAATTTAATAGAACTAGTTGACCAAAATCGTATTTTTTTATACATTATATATATATGTACGCAAAGATTTCAATTACTGATTACAATTAATGATGTTTATATTATCACAGAGTCCATTAGCCCTAGCTACCAACTCCTTGCCAAATTGGTGTCAGCATCTTTACACTAATTACAGAATGATTTTCCCCTTTAACATCCGATCGTTATTCTTTTACGCCTCAAAATTGGGAATAACCAGGTTTTTCACGCCACCTCCTGACTCGACTTAATTTCTGTTCTTTATTCTGAACTCTATTCAGCAAAGCAGCCTGGACATCATTTTTTGGTTTTTATAATAATAGATTTTGGCGTAAGGATGGTGATATCTTAAAAATACGATTAAAGATTTACTTATTCCTATTTTTAAAATCTAAAATCACTAATAGGAACAGCTATTTATAATTTTATAAAGTAAAAAGACGTATGAAGACCGCCAAAATATCAACACCTTGAGTCAAAATTGATAGTTTAATTCAAAAAATAGTGTCCAAACAGCTTTTCATAAATTAAGTCAAGTTAAGATGCAGTCTTATCTCATCCTATTTTTTTTTCATTTAAAATTGTTTATTGATTTTAATGTTTAGTGAAATAATATAAAATAAAAGGTGAATGAAAATTAGGAAAGAATATATTTCGACTGAAACTAAAAGGCAAAGCTAGGGTTGAGGTTAACAACCTCATTCGATAATTTGAAAATATTCGAACCTTTAAGGTTTGCCAACTCCCATTATGTTTTTTTTATCTATCCTTTTTTATTTATAAACATTTTTTAAAATTTCTATTACAGAATCTCTACAATTGGTCAATTTTGTTAAATTATAAAAACAAAATTATTATTTTTTATTAATTTCCCAAATATACTTATAATAATATCATTCATACGGCATAATTAGTATTACTTTAAAGTAATGCTAATACATTTAATAAGATCAATCGTATGGCTCCAACAGCGTTTCGAGGCTAACCTAAATCCTGCCCTGGACCGGAACAGGCAAATAGCTGTTAGAGGCCGACTAAAACACGACAGAATCAAGATACCTAGATCGGATTCTAATCAATTTATCGAGTGGGCTTTTAGCGTTATGCGATATCACGCATCGAGAAAAAGTGTATTGGAGGTTTTAAAATTTTTTCTCTTGTAAATATTTGAGCTTAATATGCAAAGATATTTGAATTTAAGAATATAGGGGCTTTTATTCCAATTCATTATTTTCTTTTTTTAAATTTTATAATCAATTTTTTGAAGGCTAGTTTTTTAATAGCTAATAATCATGACAGTAAACTTTTCATAACCTTTAAATCACATTTGATTTCTTGCTATTCTATCAATAGTACATAATAGGGTTGTCGAAATAAAAAATAAGAAACGCAGTTTTTGGTTTTTTGAATTTTAAAATATTTTTTTTGTGTATGAATGCAAATTTTTATTATTTAATTATGCAATAATCTCAGCCATACAAAAAAATATGAGCCTGATAATGATATTTTTTTAATTAAATCAAATATATTTATTTCTCTTACCTCTTAGATCGAATATGTTGGAGAAGAAGGGACCGGCCTTGGCCCGTCCCTCGAATTTTATGCCCTCATAGCTACCGAACTTCGTCATCATCGCCACGCATTATGGCTATTTACGGATGAATCCGATACCTGGCCCACTGGCTTATTTCCGGCTCCTTACCCTCCCTCATTATTTCGATTTAAAGCTGCGAATAATCGTGATATAAAAGATATAGGTATTTTGTATATATAAAAATAGAGTGTTGTGATGATTTAATGAAACATATTGACAATTAAATTAAAACCTATCCATATAAAATTATTTTCTTTGTAAAAATAATTAGAATATAGACAAAGCATTATTGAAAATTCTTTTATTACTCCTTTTGTTATTTTAATTATTTTTGCAAAGAAAATAATTTTATGTGGATGGGTTTTAATTTAATTAGAGTTGTTAAAGGATCTAGATACAAGTATCTAGATCCTGTATCTAGATATAAAAATGTGGTATCTGTATCTAGATAGATTTTTGATTAAAATATCTGTATCTAGATATTATTTTAGACGATGTATCTGTATCTAGATCCATATAAAAAGTATCTTTTAACAACTCTGAATTTAATCGTCAATAGTTTCATTATATCATCACAACACTGTATATAAATTGATTATTTGAGATAATTTAAATGGACAACCAACTAAGGAATTATATTTATCTAGGAGTTTATATTAGCTAATATTTCTTAACATTTTGGTTAGCCAAAAAGTTAATTTTTTTGAATCGATACATGCTTGAAACTTATTTCTGATTTTTTATTTATTTAATCAAATTTTATTTGTTCTATTATTTATCCATACCCTTTGTTTACTAAAGATATAAATGACGGCAATAAAATACAGAGCGTTTTGAGTTCTTTTGCCTTTTTAGGTGGTCTTATGGCTAAGGCTTTGCAAGATGGTAGGTACTTGGATTTACCTCTTTCCCCGGCTTTCTTCAAGCTTTTGGCGGGAGTTGGTAAGTTTTACTATGTTCACTTTGAGTTTATCTTTTCTTATTTTAGTGTATTGCCAGTCGTTTTTTATAGCAAAAATATTACTAATTGCACGAATGATTGATTATAGCATATATTTTCTATCAATCACTAATAATATTAATAAAATTGTTGCTTAATTTAAGATAACTCCCTGACCCAAAACAAAGTAAGGCAAAATGGTTTAAATGAAGCTTTGACCTACATACGTTTGGTATCACGTGATATGCAATTAATCAACAGTTCTCCTCAATCGCAGCAGATTCTCGACACCTCTATTCCCGATTCTATTTACGATGAATATTATGGTTACATTCTAAAACGTTTTATGAAAAGAAAATGGTCGTTAGTTTAAGCAGGATGGGGAGTACGAAACCCTTAATCAAATTATGTAAAAAAACAAAAGCCACTAAATTTTTTAATATTGTTCAAAAACCCTAACTGAAACTTGGGCTTTATAATCTTTAACCCCCTAAAAATAACCTTTATACGTAAAAATTCGGGATTTTGTTTAAAAGGACGGTAAAAAAATTGGATGCTAATTAAATTATTATATACAAATTTTAAAAAGAATAAACAAATTATCGCATAAACATTTATCATTATTATTTAAAACGTTAATTTTTAAAGTATGCTTAATTCACTCTTATACAAATATAGAACCGAACTATGAAACCTTAATAAACGTCAAAGGGGAGAACCGATCCGTTATAAATATTTTTAAATTGGTTCATAAATTTAATTATATTTATTTTAAAGAATTGGCATAGTTTAAAATATTTATAAAATAAATATTACAGATTTATGTTTGGCTATGTTACTTAATTTCTTATATCTTATTAATATTTTTTAATAAACTTTTAAATATTTTTAATAATTATTATAGAAATTGCTTTAAATAAATAATATTTATATATAGCACAAAGGACAAAAAATATATATCAATTTTACCATTTATTGTAAATATATTTTTATAAATGATTATTAAGAGGCTAAATAAACGCTGAATATATGGATATGCAATTGCAATGGATTCTCTTATGTAGATTATTTAGTACTAATCGCTTAAATATTAATTTGCTAACCTTCGAAACACCATTTGTTACTTATTGGGATAAAAATAATTAAGTTGACAGTATTTATTGGTTCTAATATTTCAGTGGCTGATCAGGCTTATGTATGCCACAAAAAAATTGATGCTATATAGAAGCAATTATCCATTCATTCAGTGCTATGATATTTTTTTTGTTCCTTTGTACATATATTTTTATGGGCCAATAAAAAAAATATATATTATAATTTATTTTGAAAAATCAAAACTTATAAGAATCGGTACCAACCAAATAACCGGTTGGTAACTAAAACCTTTTAAACTATGAACCGGGATGGAATAACCGGTGTATATAAAGGTTCGACACCCTGCTCTTATATAATGTTAAATCACTTGGAATTAATTAAGATTAAAGTAATATACTCTTTGCCTATCTACTAATTTCTAAAAATTAAACTTAGAAATCGGTTTCATCATAAAAACTACTATAGATACAAAAATGATATAATTCCATTGTTTTTATCTTAGATTTAAAAAAAAAACTTATACAGCTATGTCTCCTCCTTATCCTTCATCCTCGGCTGACGAAGGTACGGAAGAAGATGGGATAATCGCCGAAGAATTCGGCGGGTCTGAAGAACTTATAAATTTTGCAAAAGATAAAAGCGCTTATAATAGAATTCACAGGCGCAACCTGAATAGAGGAGAGATTAGCTATATAAATGAAACAAAAAATAATTTTTTTAATTTCGCCTACATGTACTCGTCCCCTCCCGTCCAAGACTATCAACTCGATAAAAGTAGAGATATTTCAGCTCTAGATTTAAATTATGCTTACGGTAACAATAATAATGGAGCCAATGGTAAAAATTGTAAAAAATTAAAGAAAATCGGTACCATCATTGCCAGTCCACCTCGAACGGAAGAAATTTCTGATCAAGTTGTTCAATAATTTTATTTTATTTCTATGTTGACGCCATTAGCTAATTTTAAATAACATGTTTCATAATTTACTTTATATCTTATACCAAATAGACGGATGGCTGGATCAAGGGTATACTTGACCCGACAGATTTATATGACATTGACCCCATCAGGGCTCGCATGCTTGACCATTTAAGACGACTATCACTACTTAAGCATAGCATACTTTGTGATAAATTTAGGACAGAAGATGAGAAATTAGAAGATATAAGTATGTTGCAACTGGAGATTCCATCCAATGACGGTTTTCACTCATCCACCTTTGTGCAATTATCGGATTTATGGTTTTTAATACAATATTATACTATTGTTATTTCTATTTGTACCTAATGGTTCAATTTATAATTGTAATTATTACACATATTTAATAGCCTGACATTTCAGTATAATCCCCCTGCAAATATATATCAATTCTTACATCATGATTTGGTTTCGGATGGAGAAAACCAGGTAATTTATTATTTAATTGTAGTTATTATGTTTCTTTTTTATAGATTGTAACAATCTATAATATGGAGGAATATATCGAATTAATGACTGATTTTTATCTGGAAACTGGTATAAATCAACAAATGGCCGCATTTAAAAGTTATTTTACCAAAATAAATTTTTATAAATCTTCGTTAAATTAAATCTAAATTTTTATATCCTTCTTTTGAAATTCAACTGTGATACTCATATTTAATTTGCCTCATAGTCGCAATATTTATACATTAAATTGTAATTGCCATGATGCAATCTCACCCTTTTTTGCTATAGTTGGGTTCGATAAAGTGTTACCAATGCAGTCCTTATCCGGATTCGATCCCGAAGAACTGCGACTAATGATATGCGGTGAGCAAATTCCAGACTGGACAATTGACGATATCATTAAATTCACCCAACCCAAACTCGGTTATACGCGTGATAGGTAATAATAAAAGTTTTTCCGTCATTTTAAGATTTCACGTTTTGTTACACACAATTAAAAGTAACAAATTTTTATAACTAGCATCGATTATTTTGTATATCTCCGATTAAATTTTTTTTAAATTAGCCCCGGTTTTTTGCGCTTCGTCAACGTTTTGAACGAGTTTGGGCGAGATGAGCGGAAAGCCTTTTTGAGATTTACCACAGGCTGTAGTTCTTTACCTCCCGGCGGTCTTTCTAGCCTTAAACCGCCTCTTACGATTGTTAAAAAAATTGATGGAACCGATAGCTCATATCCCTCTGTCAATACTTGCGTTCACTACCTTAAACTTCCAGAATATTCTCACGAATCCATCCTCAAAACTAGGCTCCTAACTGCCCTGAAACAGACTGGCTTTTACTTAAACTAATTAAATCCCCCACCCTCCCCCCTCCCGATTTATAAAATTATAATTAATTTATAGTAGTAATAAATCCTATTTGAAAAAAAAATAGTAATCATCTGCCTTACATTGATATTTTAATTTGGCACATTTTATAAATAATGGTATTTATACACTGTATCTTAATACTCTTATCTATATTTCATATAACTTTTCTTTTTATTTTAAATATCTTATGTATAGATAATTATTTAGCAAAAAAAATATGAACCTAATTTATTATTTTCCTTGTAAACTAATAATGTTTTCATTATATAAATTTATTTTTTTTAGATATATTTATAATATTTATTTGGAGATTATAATATTATAGTAATAAGAATATTCAAAAAATATTAAAATAATTTTATAATTTCTTTAATATAATAAATTATTGACACTATTCCTCACATTGATATACTAGTCTAGACTGACGATATATTTATACATGCATTTAAAAGTCGACATAAATAGAAATCTTAGACGCCATTTTAATGTCACAGGTCAATCATTAATATAAATTCTACATATTATTAATAGCGTCTACAAGATTACTATGTGATTAAGAGCCATAGCTGATTTTTGGAGGAGATAATACACCAAGTCGGTTAAATAGTCATCGCGGATATTAGAGTTGAGGAGTTATAGCAGAAGGGCTACCAGAACGTGGCACTATTATAACACATAAATGTGCAATTTTTTTTAGACGTGGCGGCAAAATTGTGCAAAAATTAATTACCTAATTATATTTCTTTTTTTAAAAATTAATAACTAATTAATTTCACTTAAAAAAAGAAGTAAAATTAGTAATTACAAGTATTTTTATAATTACTCTTCTTAAATCTTAATTTTTTACCAAAAACGATTATTAATAATTTAAAAAATCTTGGTTATCATTCCTGACCTTAGGAATATTCCATTAACACTGGAAGATAAATCTAAATTGCTAATATTCAATCCAAATTTTTAAAAAAAAGACCATAAGTGATGCTTGTACAAGCTGCCATCAAGTTATAAAGCTTTACAATCACAACACCATTAATTTCTTAAAACAAATGGGTATATTTATTAACCATTTGTTCCTTCTTTTAGAGAAAACAACCTTTGCTAACACAATATAATAATTTTAAATAATTAAGTCTATTGAATCATCAAAAACAAATAATCAGCAATTAACTTTACCAGTTAAAGATAAAAAAGTATTACAAGTCATCAGGCGGCTATTATTAAAAGTCTAAGACCTCCGAGGTTGAAGGTAAAATTACACGTGACACGATGAGTCACGGCGTGAGTGTGAATAAATTTTAAATTATTGGGCGTGACCGACCTTCTCAAGATTTTTGCCTGGCATGGTTGGGCGTGAACATAAATTTCCTATGAATCACGGAAGTTTTGATTTTTAAAATTGATTTTTTATGAATATAAATTTGCAATTATAATTATAATATGTATTTTCTAATTTAATTTAGTTCTTTTGCAAAAAACTTCCGCATTTTATTAATAACATTTTTCTTTCCGTCTTATAAAATTTCAATGAAAAATAAATCTCAAATAAATTTAATTTAAATATGTTTTATTTTCATATTTCTTTACTAAAATTTTATCAATATTCAAAGAATACTTGAATAATCAGAGTGCAGATTCTCCCACAATAAATGAAGTTTATTAATGGAAGCAAAAATTAGTAAAATTTATATACCTTCAGAAGGTGATACAATAATAATCAAAACCTTAAAAACAGGACGTTTCTAAAGGAAGGATTTATTATGCAGTCACTACATAGGGTAGGTCTATAGATCCTAATTTCGAAAGTCGTAAGTTTTTAATAGACGAGTTATATTTTTTCAAATACATCTGGAGCCCCCTCCTTTATAAAAATGAGAAGCGGGAGCTAGCTCTTTTTAGGGCTGGAGTGGAGGAGCGCCGCTCCACCGCTCCTTTAAATTTAAGGTATAAATTAAATTATTTTTTAAATATTAATAATGTTTGTTAATTAAAATTCAATAAAAATGAAATTTTATTAAAATTTATCCATTAATAAATGTTGAGCCGAGTTTTATATTGGTTTTTCATCTAATCATTTTAAATATTAAACATCAAGTTTTTCATTTTCATACTGAAAATTTTATGGAAAATCTTGTAAATCATATTAATATTTATTTTATAGATATATAATAAAAAATAGTTTTAGATATTATTGATTTAGAGATCATAAAAGAAGAAATCGAATTTCCATTTCAATCATACAAAAAATATTTGAAACTTCTAAAAGATGTTGATCCAAATGATCAAACAAATTTAAGGGGGCAAAATGCCTTTTGTGTTTAAGTAAAAGTATTTTATTTTCAAAAATGAGCAGCTTCAATCAAAAAAGCATTTAAAAGTAAAAAACCTTTCTTTTAAATACAAAATGATAACTATTTTTTTATTTTGGAATAATTTTTTTAAAATGGTTATAATTATTTTTGGGCACTTCATTATAGTTAAGCCTGGGTTGTTAAATATGATGCTTTTTTAAATATATTTTAATATTTATTCTAATTTACTCATTACTTGTTCAACCTCATTTTTTATACCTGAATTAAAAAATATCTTTATAAAATACAATACCCCGCTTCCATATAGTGCTCCTGTGGAGCGCTTATTTAGTATTTGCAAAACAGGTAGGGGAGAGGCATGAATGTTTGTTAGATTATAATTTAGAAAATTTATTACTTTTAGAGGTTAATAAAAGATTATAAATATTTTGAAAGATCATTTAATATAAATAAAACCTTTTGATAAAAAAATATGATTTTATTTCGTGTAACTTCTAAAAAAATGAAAATCAAAGGAGAGGTTATGGAGTAGCTCTTCGTGAGAAGGTAGGAGCGGGAGCAGGAGCTAGCTCTTTTTGAGAAGTTAGAAGCGGGAGCTAGCTACTTTTAAAAAGGAACGTTAACAACTAAAAATAAAAAATTATTTGATATGCAAAGTCAATGCCTATCATTTATAAATTTTTCTAAATGCAACATAGAGAATTTTTTTATGATTCTGATCAACATTTACCGATCAAAGTTGTGAGGATGAACTTAAAAGTTTCATAGCTCATAAAACAAATAACGATGACAATTAGTTTTGGAAGCAGGAAAATTAATTTCCTTTTTTGAGAAAATTTAGTTAATTTTGTCAGTCCTGACATTTCTAGTTTAATGGTTATTTTCTATAGCCGATTGTTTATTAGAGAAGCGGACACAATTGAAATAAAAAAACATGTGCATTCTTCTTTTTCTAAATAAAAATTTTATTTATAAATTTTAATTAATGGGGTTAGTGAAATAAAAACTATGATAGAATAAATTCAAAAAAGCTATAACAATCAAGTTTTGAAAATTTTAAAACACCTTTATTTTTCGGGCATAATCAAAATATTATCCTTCGTGAGCGGGTCGGGTCAAATTTTTTTAGTAGTAAGCCTGAAAGTGCGTGCACGAGCGAGCCGTAAATTATATATTAAATCCACGCCACGTCTAGGTTGAAGATGGAGGAAATTTTATAAGAAACTAAATTCTTTCACACGTTCTTGTGTACCACTTTTAAAGGGTTTAAATATCGGGAAGATATTTTAAAGTTTATGTAAAACAAACTCAACCTTTTTAGCTATTATTACATATCCATATAGCTTAGATAGGTTGAATAATATAAACAAAATGATATAAAATCAATAATATCTTAAGCTGTTTCAAAAATCATTGCATAGTAAATGCCCAAACAGCGTCTACATGAGAGGGGTGGGTATTTTTAAGGGGGGTGAGGTAAATTTATTGGGGGGTTATCAATTCAATTTTTAGATTAAATAGGGCAAAATATATTGCAGTAAAAATTTATAATTCTTTCATTATAGACCTATTATAATATACATATATTACCAAACATAGACCAAATTTAATTGCATAAAATCAAAATCACTGCCATTATTTTTTAAATAAAAATTATTTTACGATAATTTTCTACTTTTAATTTATAGAGGTTAGACATTATATTAGAATCATATTCATGATAAACAATTCATTATAATAATCAGTGGTGTATTGCTTACAAATTTGGCTGAGGAGTACCAATTTTTTAAATATATTATCAAAAATATGATATGTATTAAATCGATTTTTTTTATTATTATTTATGAAAAAATTCTTTATTCATTATATTATAAAAATAATATCATAAATTTAATATTGATATCTAAGCAGATTATAATCTATATATAAATACTTAAAAATTCCCATAAAATCTTTCATTTTCTTTAGGCTGTATTTTTAAATACTTTATATAAAAATTAAATGTGAACAACGATTTATTTAGTAAAACAAATAATCAACTGTAATATATATTAAAAAGAAAACGTGATGCAAAAGGTAATTTTCCTTTCCATATATTATTTTATAAACATAAATTTCTGTTGACTGATGGTCTCATACATAGTCTTTTTTGCATATACAATAAATTTGACAAATTATTTACACTTAAACTCGCTAGATTATCTACCAGGATTAAATTCATATGATAAAAGACCTTTTTACACTTGGCAATACTGTTTGAAAAAGTATTCAAACAATTAAAGAATTTTTTTTTAATTTTTCTTTGGGATCATCGACATATTGTCGAAGCCCAGCAATCGTTTCATATTTATTAAGTTTCAATCTTTGTTATTCTTATTTTCTTCTTGCCAAATCGCGTATCTAGGTTCCTAAGTCAATTTTATTTTTGAATAAAGACTATATCGGAGAGAATTTTAAAATGAAAAAAATAATTTCAATAAAATTTATTCAAGTCATTTTACTCCCGTTTTAAAAGAAAAGCTATCCATTAGATGGGGGACTTCTTAATGCTTTCTAGAGGAATTATAAATTGTTCTATTTTTCTTACCTAGTTCTGTATTTTTTTTTAATAGTATATTTTAAATGAATGTATAATTTATGAATCGAGAGATATATGTAAATATCCACCTATATGATATTTAAATATTACTGTTAATATGTTCTTAATGATTTGATATTTTTAACCAGTTAATCAATAAATAAATAGTTCATTGGCAAAGGGAACCGAAGTATTTGATAAAAAAAATATCTACATTTATTATTTCTCTCAAAGTGGATTGATTAATCATAATAACATTGGATAATTTCTTGCCTGTAGTGTGTAAATCGGCTCAATCCTAATATTGAAAAATTTTGTTGAGCCTTGGGCAAGAGTATATTATTTTTTCAAGATTGA